AGAGAACTTTTAACTTACATTTAATTCAAAAGTCTTCAGAGCAACCCGAAACCCTCCTGGAACTGGGGGATTCAGGCGAAGGGTCTCTTTAATAACACACCCAATGTATTTAAGCTGTTCCAAAATTTCCATGTCCAACTTGTTGTCTTGATTGCTCTTGCAGAGTAAACCCTATCAAAACAGTCATACAGAGGTGAACGGTTATTTTGTGCTCCAATAAAATCAGCCCAGCAGACGTAAACAGGGCTTAAGTGGCGGCTAGACCCAAAGGGCCCCATGATGGGAGAGGGTGAGGGGGAAACTGTGAGCAGCTAATGACCATTTGCCTCCACCCCTTGGCCCAAATCCACTATCTATTTACAATTCCAAGAGAATGCTGCCCCTCACTTAGAACCACCTAGATTTCTCCCCCTGCACCCCGCCCCCATCACCACCACTTAGGAGTCCCCCATTCATGCCCTTGGACACATAAATTCAAGAAAGTGGAATCTATCTGAAAATCTCCAACGTACTGCAAATACAAGGAATACAAGGATCAAGCCCCGCCTGAGTGGGACCACAGCTCAAAGTTCCTTCCTTTTTATTCACAAAGCTAATTTTCTCTCCCCACCCGCCCACCCAGCCCTGGGCCCTGCACTTTGCAAAATAGGCAGAGAAGGCAGCACACTTACATATCGGCAAGTTGGCCAGGGGGCAGCCGAATTTCTTAAGCTGATAGTGAACCCCGGTGTCCCCCTACCTTACTCTTCAGCTCCTCTCGAACTTTCTGGAGAACGTGGGGATAGAGCCCAAGGTAAGTAATCAGAGATGTGGCGGCACTAGCTGTGGTTTCATGTCCCCCAAAGAGGAGTTCCGTTGAAGATTGCTTTAGTGCCTAAGAATGGAATAAGATAATAAGTCTGCATGCAATTTTACCCAGCAATTACTTAGAACCGAACTGGAGGTTCTGGAAAGAAGATGAGAAGGGCTGAAAGTTTACTGACAGAAAGCCAAGGGAAGTTACATTTTTTTAAACAAAATGCATAGTCCCTTTAGTTCAGCTAGAGCAGGAAAGCCAGTAAAATCTCACGACACAGGGAATTCTTGAATGAAAGCCTTGGTTGTATTAAAATCGCCCAACATTCTTTATTTACACTTTGCAAATTCCAACTTGCCCTGTAAAACCTGGTCGGGCTAGGGGACGCTCCCTGTTCCGCCGCAGCCTCTCCCACGGCTCTCCGGACCCAGTGTCCCGACCTTCCGGGTCCCATCCCCGGTGTCTGGGCGGCCTGCCCACTCTGGAGGCCGGACCTGCGCTTTGGGGTAACCGCGCTTGGAAAGCCAGGGGACCAAATTCCGCAGCGCCCCTTCCTGAAGTCGCCACTCACCTGCATGTCCAGCCTCTCTCCCCTCTCCCACGAGTGCTCGATCAACAGCTGCAGCACATCTTTGCAGCCGCCGCCCGCCTCGGCCGTCCGCAGCCCGCAGATCTTGGCGCGAATGTTCTCCTCTATGCGCGCGTGGATGAGGTTCCGCGCCTTCAAGCCCTGAGCGCAGAGAGCGCACGGCAGTGAGCAGAGGCCCGGCCCCCGCGCCCCCGCGCCCCCTGCTCCTCACCCTGCACGCTCCCTCACCCGGTACAGCCCGCTGAAGGGCACGTCGATGGGCAACGAGAAGAGATTGCGGGTCATTTCCTCGAAGGCCTCCACCAGCTGCTGCTCGGCGTCCCCGCCGCTCGCCAGCCGGGGCTCACAGCCCAGCAGGATGCGCATGGCGATGCGGAACATGAGGCGCTTCACCTGGGGGTAGACCAGGAGGCCGCGCTCGCCGCGGCTCAGCCACTGTTCCAGGCAAGTGCCCACTTCCTCGGCGATCACCGGCACGTAGCACTGGAGCGCCTCGCGGCTGAAGGCCCGCATAATCACCTGAGCTCCGAGGAGGGAGAGTGTTAAAAGCGCCCCCCTCGCCTGCCGGGATCCCCTTCCAGCCATCCCCACCCCCGCCAGACGCAGGGCACTTCCCGGCTAAAGTGGCCTTGAGCGGGTCACCTCCTGCAGCTGGCGCCCGCCCGGCATCTATCTCCTAGAACCCCTCCAGCCGCTGGGGTCCCCCTCCCCGTCCAGGCCCCGCCACCCCCGCCCTCACCTTCTTGCGCTGCTTGTGAGAGGAGTCGTGTAGGTTGGAGAGGCAGCCGGAGCCCAGGATGGTGCGCACCGACGCGGGCCAGTGGACCGACACCAGCCGGTGCTCCCCGAGCAAGATGCGCCGCACGTTGTCGGCGCCCATCACCCGCACCGTGGGCCGCCCGAACAGATGCGTCTTGTAGATGAAGCCGTATTTCCTGCGCTTCATCTGCAGGAACTTCCTCCGCTGGGGGAGGAGAGCGGAGGAGAGAGGCGGGCGTGAGGGGGCGCCGGGGAGCGCCGCGCCTCGGGCTAGCCCGGGTCCCAGCCGTAGTCACCTCCCTCGCGGGGACGCCTACCCCGGCTTCACGGAAGCCCGGAGCCGACTGGGGCTCCTGAGAATCGTCCCGTCGCGCCCAAGCTCCCTTACCTGTAGCACCATCTGCAGTGTTTCCCCGAAGAAGGGGAAGCCCATAGTTCCGGGCGGCAAAGGGAGGGCGCAGCTGCGGTCGCGGCTGCTCACGCAGTACAGGTCCCAGAGCTTGACCGCGGCCAGGAAGAGCAGCAGCGGTAGCACGAAGGTGCAGAGCGCACTGGCCAGCAGCGCCGGGAGCCCCATGGCGCGTCGCGGCCTCCCGCGCCACCTGCCGCCGCCGCCAGCGCTCCGAACCCCGCCGCGCGCCTGCTTTATAGGCGGCCCAGGTTGCTGCTCACGTTAGCTTGGTCAGACAAATTAATTCACCCGAAGTTCATCTTTAATTGCGGATTGGGCCCCTGGCTCCTCCCCCCGCGAGGCGCTGCCCAAAATCTTTAACCGTTTGTTCCACGCCGAGGCAGAGGCGGCACCGTGGCGGCTTCACTCGGAGCGCGCCTCCTGGGGTGCGGGGCTACGAGCAGCTTGCCTCCCCCTTACAAGGTGTGCGGAGCTCCGAGACGGCGGCAGAGGCCGACCCGGGCTCCGGGGAGCGGGAACTCCAAGCCCTGGGCTTCCTGGCGGTCTCTTTGGAATCCCCCCCGCCGGGTCCGACGGGCGGTCCCAGCCCAGAGCTGCCTTCAATGGCTTTCCATTTTCAGGCGCCGCGTGGGCTCCCTTCCACCTGCAGGGGAAGCAAAGGGAAGTGCGTTCAGGAACCGACTAGCTGCCGGGTCCCCACTGGGGAAACTGAGGTCCAGAACGCAGAGCAAAACGCAAACCCACTCCCCCGAAGAGCCCGCCGAAGAGCCCAGGGCCACGACCTAAGCGAGAGCGGGGGGTGTGGGGGGAGAGTCAGACCTGATCCACGGATCATGGATCCCAGCTCCCCAAGGCCCTCAAGGAGGCCAGCACTCATGAAGTCCTGGAAGGTCCGACTTAAGGGTACAAGAGAGTCTCCAAGTCCCTCAGGACTTTAGGTGCAACCCTGCACAAGTCTCAGCCCCAACTCTGACGCCCCAGTGGGAGACCGCTGGGGCAATTCATCCACCTCGAGGCAGCCAGCGCTCTGCGAACCGGCTGCGGCCAGCCGGATTCCAAGGGCCCTGGGACTCACAGCCCCACCTAGGCAGAGGGCGAGAGGATCCTTAGACCTGGGCAGATAAGGTGACAGAGATAGAGGAAGGAAAACCTGGGAGTCTGTACTCCGGGACTGGCTCCATCTCTACTTGCATGACCTTGAGCAAGCCACCACACATCCTTGCGCTTGTTTCCTTCTCCTTCATATGGAGGCGGTAATTCCCCGATCTGTCTACACCCGGGGGCAGTTGTGAGTTTTCGAAAGGGGCCCCTGGTTGCAGATGCTTTTTCCCGGCTCCGCACACGCTAGATTGCTTCACCCGGATGACCTGGACTCGGGGCCCACGAGCCTTCCTCCGCTCTCCCAGCTCCCACCCACTGAAGCCACCCAGGTGATTGGGGTGCTCAACCCTCAACCCGACCTCTGCCCGCCCCTAATGGGAGTGTTGAGGGAATCCATACTGGGAAGCAGGTCGGCTGGCCTTCGCCCAACTGCAGTCAGCTGCTACTGCAGCCAGTGCGGAGAGCTCGGACACTGCGGGAAGTGCACGTGCGCACCCCACTTCCCACCTGGCCGGCCCACACGCATCCTTGGTTGGAGCGCCGAACGCACCCGCGGCCCCGAAAACGAAACAGAATGAAGTACGTTTGTTTAAAACCAAACTCCGGCTCTTGCAGGAGCACGCCGCACGCCTTGGAAAGCGTCCCTTGGAAATGGAAAACTCTTTGATCCTAAGAGCTGTTAAATACGTGGCCCTCCCGCGGTGGTCCCCAAAGCTGGCGGGATTGGAAAATGTCTGTGGAGTGGTAGGGACCGCGCAGTCCACGCAGCGCTCCAAGCCGGAGTCGCCATAGGGCTTGCTTGGAACTCGGCGTTTCAGAGGCTCTAGGGAAGGGTCTCTCCCACTGTCATTTGTTCTCACGATTCGGCGACTGTAAATGGTGCGGGCCAACTTCGGGGCACCGGCGGGAACTCGGCGAGACGCGCTAGAAGTAATTCTCAGAAATCCTGCGCCCGCCCCTTTCGAGACCTTGCTCCGGCCGGTGAGCAAAACCGGCGAGCGGGGGCGTGACCTGGGGCCCATTCCCAATCCTCTGGCCTGACCTGCCTGTGACCCCTGCAGGCCGGACCGTGACATCCGAGTGAACTCGGCAGGGCCACCTCGCCAAGTTCAGCGCGCGCCGGGTCACAAGATGAGTGGGGCCTGCGTGCTGGAAATTGCCGGGAGGGGGGGGGGTTGTTTTAATAAGTCTGCCCATCGAGACCCGCGGGGGCGTCCGGCGGGGGCGTCCGGCAGGAAAGGATTAAATGTGAGAGTGGAGATCATTAAAGAACATCTCGAATGGAGGAAGGGGTCAATAAATTATCAGCCCGATAAGAACTTTGATTAGAAAACTTGCCAAGCTTTCTTGGGTGGTGGTGGGCGGGGAGGAGGATTGGTTCACTGGAAAACAAAATATTTCCAAGATGTTTACAAAACAGCCTCCCTGTTGCGAAGGGTTGGGGGTGGAGAGTAGTTTTTTGCTGGAGGAGGGGAGTGAGGTAGACCGGAGTCTGGTGAGCTCTGGCAGCAGAAGCACCCCTCCTCCACCTTTTCCCCTCCAACCCTTTCCTACCTCCTGAGCACTCACTCCGGTCTGGGGGCGCAGGGTTTTGTACCTGCTGTTTCCTCTGCTTGGGGAGCACCTTTCCCAGGTCACCGCTGGCTGGTTCCTTCCAAAGTTGAATGTCACCTCCTCACAGAAGTCTCCCCTTCCCACCCTGCAGGGTTCAGCCCCCAGGTACGGTGTCTTACAGACCTGTCTTATTCTCTTGAGAGCACTTAGCACCAGTCTGCATTCTGGTGCTGTTTGTTTGCTAGTTTATTGTCCACCTCCTTCCTAAGCATATGTGGTCCAGGAGGGCAAGAACCAGAATGCTCCTTCCTCAGAAAATCTGGAGCTACTAAATAAGAGTTCAGGTGTTCCCTGAAATTACTGAAAAGGATATTATCAATGGGAAATTGGAGCTGCCCCTACTGGAGCTTATAGTCAGTACAGGTCCCAGAACAGGTAAACCAAGTCTCTTGGAACCACCTACACCATAGGGACTTCTGAAAACCTCCTCCCCATATTGCTCTTCTCTCCCCCAATCAGAATCAACCCCAGGCCCTGGTCCTCCTGCCCCCCCCCCTCCCTGGTGGCAGCTTCTCAGCCCGGATGTGGTCTCTGCAGCCTCAGGAGCGCCCTGAGGGCAGGCTCCAATTCTGCCACTTTTGCTGGCTCCAGTGCCTGCCGAGCCCAGGGCCTGGCGCCGGGTCTGTGGTCAGCAGTGGGTGATGAATTGCCCTGGATGGGGGTTATGGCAGTGTCAGCCGAGCTCGGAAGGGCCCGCTGAGCTCTTGAGCTACCGACCCTGCGTGCGCCTGCTGCTTCCCCCTTTCCCTCTGGCCCCGGGGATCCACCTTAAGCATAAGGTCAGGAGGGCACCAGCTTCCTTCTGGTTCACTAAGGGGTCAGCTCACGGCCTGGGCGGCAACTTCCCTGGCTCACCCATCATGTCCAGCTGACCAGTCTGAAGATGGGTGGCAGGTTGCACTGGGCTGTTGGGAATGGTGACCCTGGAAGCTCTTGGCTTTGATTTAAACCCTGGTGGAAACCTCTGTGTTGGAGCCCTTAAGCCAACCTAGGGATCACCATGAAAGGACAAAGGGCTGAGCCCTACATAGTGGCCACAGGCCCAGAGGCTGGAGCAGGGAGTAAGTGATGAGGTGGAGGACAGCACTGGCCAAGGAGTCCAGGAGCCCATTGCTAGCTCCTCAGGGGAGTCTTCTGCCTGTTTCTCCTATGCAGTGGAGTAGGTGGAGGTAGTAAACTGGAAGGGTTCTGCAGCCAACTATCACAGGGATAATTCTCAGCCCAGCTTTTGGGCTCTGCTCAGGAGGAAAGTTCTGGCATACTCTTGGGGGGGGGGGGTTCCTGGGTATCCTCCAACCCCTACCCCACACCTTCCCACCAGGGAGCAGCTGCCCAGCTAAGCCCTAGCCTCCTCACTCAACTGCTGCCAGGAAACTTTTTTCTTGGCCTTCCTGTTTTGGGTAGAAATATCCCAAACCTCTCTGATTATGTCTCAACCTCCCATGAAAATAATCCAACCTTAGAGACATCTCTCCGTGCCTATTCTCCCCTGTATATATGGGAAGATTAAACGCGTTCTTGAAGTAGGAATTTTTCTTTTACGAAGTCGCCAGCAGAATCAGTGATGTTGAGCCATTTAGAGCCCTGGAAGCGCCCAGAGTTCTGAGTTTCTGCCGAGACTGAGACCAGCAGAGTGGCCTCAGCGCACCAAGCCGAGGTCAGCTGCCTGAGGGCCTTCCGCTGGGCGCCTTCTCGGTGTGTCTTACTATGGCCCAAGGCCAGGTCGGAGATACGCTTCCTCCTAACGGTTGCAGGTCCAGCCGCGTCCGCTGGGTCTCTGGCGCCGTCCAATCCTGCCCTAGCAATCCTCCCCGCCACCCCAAGATCCAGGCAACCTCCCGGGCTTGGCGCCGGAGGGCGAGGCCCCGCAACTCCTGGTGAAGATCTGTTCCCTTCATCTCTGCCTGGAGATACTGGGAAAGGCTTAAGAGGCTAGGCTCACGACCCTTCCTTCCTCGGGGCGCAGAGCGCAGGAGGCACCTTCCCGCCGGCCTGGGCGCTTCTCCAGGGCGCCGTGGCTCCGGCCCGCGCTCCTCCTCCCTCAAAGTCTGGCAGAGAGCTGCATTCGGTGACCGTTTGTTGAACGAGCGCCGGACCCGGCACTAAGAAACCGCAGATGGGCGGCGCTGACAGCGCGCCTCCGCCACTGGCCAAGTCCTGTCCCGAAGCGCAGCGGGTCAGAGGTGTAGCCCATCTCGCGCTGCCGAAGGCGCGAGCGGGTGGAAGAAAAGCCGCAGCCCGTCCGCCGGGTGCACGATGGGCACGGTCTGCATGGCGGGGAAGGCAGGCGTGGCCAGTTCCCAGCGCGCCGTGCGCACCAGCTCCACCGCCAGCAGCTGGAGCACCGCCTGTGCCAGCTCCTGGCCGAGACAGCTGCGCGCTCCGCCGCCGAAGGGGATGTAATGGAAGCGGCCGGAGGCGCCCCGCGCATCCTCCCCCGCCGCGCCGAAGCGCTCCGGGTCGAAGCCCTCGGGCGGGCTGCGGTACACCGCGGCCGTCTCGTGCGTGTCCCGGATGCTATACATCACGCTCCAGCCCTTGGGGATCTGGTAGCCCTGCGGGGAAGTGAGGAAACCCGCCTGACTACGAGGCACTTGGAATCGGGTCCTGAACCCACCCTCCACCCCGGGGGCTGCAGGAACGCACGCCTAACCCGCAAGCTAGGAGAACGCTCTGCGTTCCAATTTCAGCTCCTTCTCTGGTGAGCTGTGTGACCTAAGGCTGGATACTCAAGCTCTCTGACCTCCAGTTTCTTAATTGATAAAATAAGAACAAAAATGCCCGTTTTGTTGTCTTGAGACTAGAATAACGGTCTGGCATATATATTAATGATCACTAAATGTGATCTATTGTTGTTTGTGTTTCAGTGTTTTGTTTTTGTCTTTTTTTCTTCTGACATTAGATCAAGAGACCTAAGTTCTAGTTTTGCACCTACCCTCCGCCTGGGCGGGAACAACACAAAGGACAGGGACCTTCATTCCTCTATGGTCAGCTCAATTATAAAGCTCTTCTTTGCACTGAACTGAAACTGACTCTCTAACACCAACACCCCCATCCATTAGTTGTACAATAATATTTAGGTCTGGCAGCCACACTTTAAGAAGATGCCCATGGGAATTAAAACCAGGCATCCTTAAAATGTTGGAAGACAGCTTTCAAGATTCCTATACCCACCTTCAGGTTTTTCAACTATTCTACTTTTTGATGTGTCTTCCAACCCCCCCCCCCCCATTATCCTGCTTCCCTAGCCTAAACAAGGAGCGCGCACTCTCTCTCACCTCTCTAGGCCTCAGTTTTCCCATCTGTAAACTGGAGGATGGCTCCCTCTCTGCTCCCCCTGGTGGACCTGTGCTCCCCTTCCTCTGTTTCCCTTAGACTGTAGAATGAAGTCTGAATTCCAAGATGCAGCATCCAAGACACTTCTAAACACCTCACTAAATCCACCCACCTTTATCTGGATGGTCCCCTTTCGGCTGCTGTGCTGTCCCCATCCTAACCCTTCACTGCTCCATGTCAAATGTCAGCCCCTAAAATGTTTCGGTGTTATGCAGCACTAACGACCACACCAGTTTGGGATGAAACTATCGGTCCTGGCCTCCTTTCTCCCCGCCACCAACTCCTCCAGGGTAGAATCCCAGTCGCTATGGTGCAGTGGACCCCTGGTATGCAATGCACCACAGATGTTCGTTCACTGTGTAAAGTAAGGCTCCCGGAAGGAGGTGCCCAGTCTCTGCCTGCAGTGACAGCCATTCAGGCAAACACCCTCAGTTTGGCAAAGGAGGGCTCCACTCTCTGACGTTGCCACTGTGTCTCACAGCCCTGGCACCACCTGACTGACGTGTCAGAGCTGGAAGGGACCAAGACCACTTCCTTCCAGAGAGTAAACTGAGATCCAGAGTGAGAAGGGAATTGCCCAAGGTCTTATAGATGGAGACAAGCCGGGGTAACAATGACCGGTCCCTTGAGCTTGTGAGGAAGTAGGGGAGTGGGGTACGGGACACGGGGGTGGGGGGGCTCTCCTTGTTCCCCACCCACACTCACTAGCTAAGGGGGGGGCGGTGCTGCGCGGAGAAAAGTATGTTTTTATTCTCAAACTCAGTTCTAGGGCGCCTGGGTGGCTCCGTCGTTAAGCGTCTGCCTTCCGCTCAGGTCACGATCCCAGAGTCCCCTGGATTGAGCCCCGCGTAGGGTTCCCTGCTCAGCGGGGAGTCTTCTTCTCCCTCTGCCCCTCACTCCGCTCGTGCTCTCTCTCCCTCCCTCAATCGAATACATAAAATCTTAAAAACAAATAAACCTCAGTTCTCATTGAATTGACTGACCCTCACCGCTGCCGAAAGCCTGTTCTTAGCCTTGTCGGCTCGCCAGCCGCCAGGCTTTGCGCCCCTCAGCTGTGTATCCGGGGGCGAATGGGGCCGAGCTCAGCCCATTTCATGGGTGGAAAGCGAAGGCTCCGAGGGGAAGAGGCGACCTCGCCGTCCTAATCGCCGCCCCCGGCCCCGCCCTCCCCGCGGCA